CAAAGTTGTCCAAGGTCTTGTTTCCAGGGTTGGGTCGTGTTCGATGTCCCGGCCTCGAAGGAGCCCAAGCCTACCGCCACGAAAGGGTGTGATCTCTCGAAGCTTTGTGAAGGAGTCGTCGGATGTATAAAAAGAAGTTATTTTCCCTCATGAATGCTGTTATCAACTTTCCCTCTCAAAGAAAAAAGCACAAACGCCAATTTTCGGAAAGTCTCTCCTCAACGTCTCAACACCGTAGCTTGAGTCGTGGTCGCACCCAATTCACCATCGGAAACTCCCATCCCACGGTTTCGGACACTTCTCCCCGCTCATCCGGTCTGGATCCAGGATCGGTACCTCAATAGGGCGAGTGACGTCGTCGGAAATATGTAAGCGCCTCAAGTGGTGTTCGGAGGTCGCCAGCTAAAACTTGATGCGCCACCAGATACCCCGCCCCCTCCATCAACAGAAACAAAAAGGGCTTACTCCCGTCTGGTGTTTGTCCGCTTGGAAGTTTTGCTGCACCGCACTGTCTTTCAACGACTTCGAACCTGTTTGCTGTTCTCGAAGAAAACCAAAAATTTCCCCACGTACCTCTCCGACTTCGATTCATATATCCAACATGCCTCTTACGGGACACTGCCTCTGCAAGGCCGTCACCTACAAGGTGGACGTCGATGCTCCCCTCATCACCGGCTACGACCACTGCGACGATTGCCAGCGCCAGAGCGGCTCGACATACTGTACGTATTCTCTCCTGCTTTCCCACGTAGCAATGTCGTAGCATAGAGGCATCTCCATCGATTCCTCGACTTATAACCTGGGCGCGTTTTGGTTGCTGACCCTGGATTAGCCCTTGTCGCCGTTGTTCCTAAGGACAAGCTTACCATCAATGGCCCTACAAAGAGCTGGGCGGGCAAGGGGTCGTCAGGCAAAGATGTTCACCGCATCTTCTGCTCCGAGTGTGGCTCGCCAATTGCTCACGACCCCGATGCGGCCCCGGAGATCATCGCCCTCAAGGCGGGTACCCTCGATACTGAGATTAAGAAGAACCTGAAGCCGGTAAGTCGAGCAATGACCCCAACACGGATCGAAGACACTCTTCGTTTCTGTGGCTTCAGCCCGGGCTGTTTCATGGATGAATGTTGTGACTAATGCGTTGTCTCCAGGACACCGAGATCTGGACCGTTGGCAAGCTGCCCTTCTGCCAGGAGAACTTGGCAAAGCCCTTCAAGCACATGCCCGAGTAAATTCGGACGTACGAAGTTGCGAATAGAGTTGAGATGCATGTGAGATGGGATATACCCCTAGGTCCTTGGATGAAGGGTCTGGGATCCAACTTATATGCTGGCGGCGGAGGGGACAAGAGTTGCATGGATGAGTCGGATGTGGGGAGTTTGTGGGTGTGGTGGAATGGCGTGAGAACCTGGAGGGTTATGATGGCATCGGGCTCGACTCGACCTCCCATTGACCCACGTCCGTCGTTACCCAAGTATACCCAGCTATCAGTTTAGCTCGGACGAAAGATTTTGGAAGGAATCCTTAGAAATTCAATGTCAGGCAATTGCTCTACAAAGACACAATCGATCCTGCCTCGCCGTACAGGTGACATCCTCGTTCAAAACGCCATCACTGCAACCCGAGCATCAAGTGCCAAAACCCGGCTGCATTTGAGAAACTCCGATAATAATCTTGCATTGTGTCATTTGTCATAGTCACGTCTCAGTCAGAGGCAAAGGGAAAAGTGCATCCATTCAATGCTCATTAATACTTGAATCTTGAACAGTGCCAAACAGTATCATTACTTCCATCACCAGGCATTTCTTCAAGCCGCACTTCATTCACGCAACGACCACCATACTGCCTCTCCAACAATCTCTTACAGTCCTGCGAGGACTGCAATGCCTGCAGCACCCATCAAGAGGCCACCTGCAGCGAAAGTCGGCATCGCACCACTACCAGCGGTTGTGCTCGTGACCGCGGCACCCGAAGCTGTACCAGTGGTGGGAGTTGAAGCACGGGTAGATGAACTACCGGTTGATCCCGAAGCTGAGCTAGTCGCAGCAGTAGAAGGGCTTGTGGTCGCGCGGCTAGTAACAGCAGTGGCACTCGCAGCTGCACCGGTGATGGTCCCAGGTCCCTGAGGGCCGCTAGCCGTATAGTAGAGAGAGATAGCCGTGTTGCTGGGAGCTTGATCGCTTGTGGCAGTGGCTCCGGTCGTTACGGGAGTAGCAGCAGCCTCGATGCCGGAGTAGATGCTGGCGAAAACTGCAGTGGGAGTACCTGTGCAGAGAGCATTGGAGGCAGATGAAAGGACGCCGCTGTAGAATGCCAGGTTTCGCTCGCTGCGGAGACCGTGAATAGTGAGGCATCGCTCGCAGGCCAACTTCTCAGCGAAGAAGCTACCCCCGCAGATGCATTGCGCGTGTGCCTCGTAGTCGATAGGGTTGGTGCCATTGGGTTGACAGGCGAGCTCAATGTTCTCAATCTGGACGCAAGGGGGAAGCTGGGCACCAGAACCTGTCTGAGGCTTGCAGACAACGTCTTGGTAGGGACGGCTGGTCTGGCGGATATCGAGAATGGCTGGGATAGACCAAGCCTGGGCGGTAGAGAGAAGCATGGCTGCAAGGCCAGCGATGATGGCTGTCTGTCTCATTTTTGGTGTAGTTTGTGTTTTGACAAGCCGATCGAAGTGGCGTGGTAGTAAGGAGTTGTATGACGAAGGGATTCTACGAGAGGATAGATGCAATGGCGATGGATGTGGTAATTCCAAAAGAGGCTGATGTATTGGTGTAAGTGATGAAGGCAGTTTTGGGAGACTTTGACGATGTGTACAGTGTAGTTGAATGGAAGAAGAAGAGATGGGTCGGAGAGAGAATTGAGAAGAGGGGATTAAGAAGAAAAGGAAGAAGAACACAAAGGCATTGTCCAACGAGTAGGCTGCTACCTGCATCAAAACCAACGGGAAGTGCTCTCTTGCCGTGACTACCTCATTTGCCAAACCGGGTGTTCGTCCCTGACCTTACCTACATTACCATGAGGTACCTTACCTTGCCTCGACTACACTACCCAGCATCCAGGGGGGAAGGAACAGGCGTGAGAGCGCATGCGTCGAACCGGGCTAAACGGGGAAGGTATCGTGGACACGATATACAAAGTTTGGATCTTTGGTGTTTGACCTTACCCTTTCGGTATTCCTTGTTTTCCTTGGGGCATGTAGCAATACGTTTTGCCGTCATTACCGCAACTAACGCGCCATTAATGGCAAGGTCTGCCGGAGGGGAATGTTGCCAGAACAGACGGTTTCTCGCGCCGGCGGAAATTGAATATTGCGGCACAGCTAAACACCTCATTCACTCCTGTAGACACACATACATGGTGCAAATTGTCCAGTCATGGTTGAGGAAGATTTCGCGCCGAGTTGGACCAGCTCGAGCAGCTGACCGAAAAGGGACTAGCAGTATAAGGATGCAGGGATGGCACTGTCCACGCCTTCAATTGATGGGAAAGCTCGCCGCTCGGGCGCAAGTGTGGAGTCAGAACCTGTCCTTTTGGCAGGGGAGCAACACCTTATCGAAGGCGTCTGGGGTGCACCTCGCCATAATCAACACCTTATTGCCAAGCGAAGCAGCATCCATAAACATCGTCGACTCCATTGGAAGGCTTGAGGGTATGGAGTACTTTGGTGTTGGACCCTCACCTTCCCGTCCTTTCTTTCGCGGGGACACTCGTAGTACCGTAAGTGCTTACGAACCATCATGCGGGGTACCAATGGTTTGGACGAGTTGCTGCCACTGGCTAGTTCAACGACTGAGTAACGCTTCATCCCGACCTTCCTGTTGTCGGGTCACTCTTGACATACCTTACCATACTTATGGTATCTGCTAGCTCCACGACTGGGCAGGAATCAACTGGACGGCTCGATCTCACATTGTTTGGGCCAGTTCATCTCGACCCCAATCATATCGCAAGTTAGCCTCAAACAAGGGTGGCACACCGACTTGTTCCATGATCAACCTCGATGGCCCAACATCAGCTGCTACAGAGGAATCTTGATCAAGAAGGACTAAGGGACCACTCTATGGCACCGCATCAAATGATCGAATACTGCTGTCATCAGTCGTGAGGCGCCTTTGGCCACGTGCCTGTCACAAAAAGCTCGGGGCAACCACCGTTCAACTCCGTTCCTGCAGGCTACGCCGCAGGGGTAAATTTAAGCTTGCTTATAGTAAGCATGGTCTTGCCTGTATCTCATTGCGATGGTCCCCAGATGTGGTAGGAAAGACGCTAATCTGTTCGACGACGCATCTCCCTCATCTTTGACAAAACCTTTAACGGCAGACAACTGAACTAGACCAAGCAATTTTCGAACTTTTGAATTCGAGTTGGCGGCTTAGTTGTTAGTATGGGGATACATACAACGGAGGACCTCTACGCTCTGTGGCGCGCCTCTCGCCTTACAAGAATCGGCATCTCCACGCCAACCGTCAGCCCTACGTATTCTTGTGCCGCTTCGTGCATATCCAGCCACTATTCAGTAATTTGAATGCAGTTGATTGAGTTGCCGAATTTGATCGCCGGCCAATGTGCAAAATTTGAGCCCGACAACTAATTGCTGCATGAACCTGCCAGTGGCCGCTGGGAACGGCCCCATCAATACAGGATGGCCTGGTCTTGAGACCTGTGTCTTTGCGACTCGCACGAGTGTCTTTGTTTGCGGCACTACCTGACTTCAATTTCTGTCTTGCGGTGTAGTAAGACGCCGCCCTAGCCTCTCGGTCAGCTTCCAGGTTTGGCCTTGGCTTGGATTGTGGCAGAAACGATGCAGGCAACGTAACTTGCATTGCCGCTGAAGCTGGAGGGGTACTATCTTCAGCTAGGCCCGGCCATACGTCTGGCTTGTGCGGCTGAGAAACAAGTAGACGAATGATTATATGGTACCCTTCGCCATCTGGGGTCCCATGCTCACGAGATTCATGTTGTTCTGAAATAGACACTCATCCAGTATTCGTACTACCAACATGCGCTTCATCCAGGAACTCGCTATCGCTATCGTCAGTCTCGCGCCGCTGGCTTCGGCTGTTGACTCATATATACATTCTCGACAGACCCAGCAAAGCCTCAGCAATGCGCTGTCAAGCCACGCCGATCTCTCCACGTTCAACGAAATTCTGAGCAGCTATCCGAGCATTACAAGTCACATAACCGCTAGGACGAAGAACGAATTCACCCTCCTCGTGCCGACCAATGATGCCCTCGCCAAGTTTCTTCAACAGTCCAACGTCAGCCGTATCACGCAGCTTCCCGTGAACCGACTATTGACCGTCTTCCGATATCATATCCTGGATGCTCCGATGACGGCCTCGAATTTCAGTGCGCCCAAGGGTATCATGGTCCCTACCAAACTTCGAGATGAGCTCTTCAACCTTCAGACACCAGGCCCTGCCATCATTGGCCAGTACGGTCAGGACGCTCAGGGTCAAGTGCTTTTTGTTTCGCCGAGCACCATTAATCCCACCAAGTTCAGAGTTAGGCAAGGGACCTCCTCTGATGATCACACCGCAAGCCTGCGCGGAGGCCTTGGTCAGACTGCCGAGCTCACATCGATCGATGGGGTGTGGGATGGTGGATACTTTCAATCTGTTGATGCGTGAGTCGATACGATACCCTACGCTTACATTAAGGGACTCATACTGATGACCTCAAGTTTCCTAGAAGCGCCGACAGGATGCTCCATCACCATCAAGAAGCTCTCAAGCTCACTATCGGCTCTCGGAGATGCATTGGACAAGATAAAGCTATGGAAACAGCTCAACAAGACCGCCAACATCATATGCCTGGGACCTGATACCGCTGCTTTCAGGGAAGCAGGTAGCCTTCAGAGTTCTCTCGGAAACGAAGACCTCAGAAACGCATTGCTGTGAGTCGCAAGCCACGTATTCTGGATCTAGCTTTCGTTCGGCTGACCTACGTCAAAGCTTTCACACTCTACCTCAGGCAGCTTATAGCGACTTCCTCGTAGATGGTCAGGAATTCACATCGATGGCTAACGTGACTGTCCGCGTCACGATTAAGGACAACGAGATCTGGTTCAACGACGCAAAGGTCATCAGCCCCAACGTTCTGTAAGTAATATCGTGCATGATCACTGCCTGGCCGGCAATTATACCTAGGCAACGATATTGATGGGCTTGTGACAGAACCAACAACGGACTCATCCATATAGTGGATCGCGTGATGTCCGCCAATACCCTACCGGACTCATCAAGTTCCTCTCCAACCGGGACGGGCTCGGCTACTCCTACTTCGACTGCTATACCCCCAAATGCCGGGAACCCCATGTCAGAAAACGTTCGTGCCGCCGCAGTCATTGCTCTTGCGGCAGTTGTGCTGCTCGTGTAAAGTCATATATCTAGGGATACCAAAGGGCTTGTTTCCTGCTCCGCCTGGGAAGATTCTGAGGAGAAGAAGGATATAGCAGTCTATGGGGTTGAGAAGGTACACAAAGTTGCGTTTATAATTGAGCAAAGCTAGTTTGCCTCTGAATCAGACTTATATCAAAATTATTGGGAAGGTCACATTTGACAGATAAACGCAGAGCAGGAAAGGAAGTACGGAGTACTTATTCATGCAACTGTGAGCAAGTTAGTACGGCGGGTGAGGAAAGGCAGCGGGGGGCGCTGCCACCCTGTGAATAAACAAACTTTCAGATGAATATACCACGAGAACAAAACCATATAGGTTCCGTCAATTCCATTTCCGTCACCAGCCAGTAGGCGCCCGTCTAGGTCGCCGGGTCAGGTCAAACTGGCTGGGTGGTGGAGTGGTTGGACGTCAACAATTAAAATTGCCAACCAGCCTACTCGACGACAGGCTCAGCGCATGCGAGAGTACCCGAGTTCGAATCCCAGTATGAGCACCAGGAAATTGAAATTTCCCAGCATGAGCGCCAAGAGATGTAGCCCCCAGTTCAGCACCGGGGAAAGGGGGGGGGTGAACTCTTTTGTCAACTTGGATTACATAATTTTTTTAGTGTTTTGGTGTCTTCATATATGGCCACTTGAGGCGGGAAACGCGCCAGGTCTCTTTGGTATGTTGGTGAGACGAGCACGACGGTGAAACGATTCAACGTCAATTGCAGCTCTGGAGGAGAACTTATCTTCCTGAGTATCTAAAGAACGGGATCATCATCTCGGGTGCCGTTGGTAGGCTGGTGGCTCTTAGGAGCCGAGAAATGGTTTGATCAGCTCTAGCAACTTTGAAAGGCAGTACCAGGACGCCGTCACTGTTTGGCAGTCCATTATTTTCTTGATCAATCAATTCGACGGGAGCTCATCCTAAGGGAACTTACACCGATGGGCAAATGATCTACAAATTTGCTACTCTTCGGACATCAATTGTCTAGTAACCCCGGTGACGCTTTCGTAAGCTGTTGCTCTGCCGTTGTCAAATGTCTGTCTCATCTTTTCTCTGAACGAAGCCGTGATATGGTCTTTCTGGAAGGTTGCCAGGATGGTTGTCTCACATATGAACAGGAGGGCGAGAACCCTAGCAACGCGGGATGCCTCTGCTCTCTGGAATTCTCACCGACTAGCTCGTACCAAGGATCTACCGTACATGTCAACTGTGATCCGGCCGATCCGCTCTCCGCCCGCTCCCTTGCTCACATTCGCGTTTCGTTCCATGGAGCTAGAACCAATCATTCCGTATCGTTTCACGGAACGACGGTTTTAGAGCTGTCAAGAAGACTTACTAAGAAGTTGCGAAAGCTCATTCCCAAGTCATGGCTAACTCGGCAACGCCCGACTTGCTTCCGACTAACATTGAGGCAATCCAATCACTCTGGCAAAAAAGAAAAAAAGAAAAAAAGAAAAAGACCGAGCTCTTGTATACGTCACTTTACTATTAAAACACCGGGACCTAGAGCCAGCCTTATCATCCGCCTGGGTCCTTATTTCTGGAGATTAGGATCATATTTTGTGGCGCCCTTTGGTGCGTTTGCGTGGGGGGTCCGTCCGTCTTGAAGCTAAGGGAGGGAACTAAGGTAAGACACAATCCTTGGGTTCTTGCTCATGCTGAGCTGTTCCCCTTCGAGTCCGCGCCAGCTTCCGAAAGGTAATCCCCCTTCCTCCCCCTCCCCCCCGAGCAGAAAAAAAAAAAAAAAAAGGAAAGGAGAAAAGTGGGAGAGGATTCAAGTTGTTACTACCATCTTCATCTCGAATCAGTTCCACACGACCAGCGGTTCCAAAAGGCCGCATTGCAAACCCGTTCTACCCAATAAACGTCACAGAAAAAAATATCAACTCTCCCCCCGCCCCGCAAACACAAAAGACGGACCACCGATGGGGCTTCAGCGGGCTCCGGGAGGAGGGACCCACGTATCGGTCATGCTCCTCCGCGCCGTCGGCGATCTCCCCGCAATCATCTGGGAGGTCCTGGCCGCCATCGCCTGGGAAGGGTGGGTCTCCATCACGAACCAGCTCCGTCTTCTCATGGCGACCTACCCGCTCATGGTCATCTTCCTTTTGATGTCCACCAGCGGAGGAACCCCCCTCGACATCACCGTGCTCGTCAGCACCTGCTGCGTCGCCTACCTCTACGCTTCCTTTCTCTACTATTTCCGTTTACGGGACCGGCTGCCCTGGGCGTGCCTCGTCGCGACGTTACTCTGGTTCGACGGCGGCGAGGGCCCCAACAGGCAGCTCATGCGCCGCGGGGCGGTCGCCGTCTTCATGCTGGCGCGGGACGACGACTGGGGCGCCGTGGTGGAGAAGAGGGTCAGGGGCCAGACGCTGCCGTGGCAGGACGGGAGCGGGTTCGCGTTCTTGTATAATTTTGAGGGACGCGAGTTGCTGAGGGAGGTGGCGCTGTATTGGGTCAATACTCTCTGCTCGTCGTTTGGGCGGCGGCGGGTGCACGACGACTTTACGCTGCGGACTTCCATCAGGGTTATGGACGTGCTGGTGTTGCCGCTGATCGGGGCGGTGGACTGGGCTTGGCGGTACAGGCAGGCTCGGAAGCGGGTGAGACTTGTCGAAGAAGAGAGGAGGAGGGGAGGTATGGCGTTGCAGGAAGGGAATTGAGTTGAGTAACAAGGAGCAAACATGGGTCCGTTGAGCTCATTCGAAGGATGTAGTAATTCTTATTCGAGTAATCGTAATAGTCCGCGTTGAAACATGGACCGTAATATATATAAAAAAACACAAAAAAAAAAAAAAAAACAGAGCTGGGTATCGAGTTGAATCGAAGGGAAAGTCATATACGTGCAAAATCCTCAAGATAAACCCCTTTCAGGCGCTAACAGGACCGGCTTCGTCCTGCCACCACTCCATAAAAGTAAGAAGCCTCTTGGTCCGCTCCCGCGCCATCTCCCTCCCAGCATCCGTCTTCATCATCCCCTCCAACCTGACGAGCTTCTCCTCAAAGTGCTCAATGGAGTCGTCCATGCTGCGCGCGCCCTTTGCGCCGCCAAACGTGAAGCAGCGCCCGATGCCCACGGCGCCAATGGCGTCGAGGCGGTCGGCGTCCTGCACGACGGCGAGCTCCGGGTACTCTACAATCAGTGCCCGGACGCGCGCCGGGTCTTTGATTTCGCTGGAGTAGCTGACGCCAAGGCAAATTGTCTGCACGCGGGCCGCGAGTTCGGGTGCCGCGCCGAGGGAGCGGAGGAGGGTGGAGACGAGGGTGGAGGCGTCCTCGCCGGGCTGGAGGTACTTGCGGTCGCCGACATCATGAAGGAGGGCGGAGAGGGTGATTGTGTGCTTGTCTAGGGCCGGGGTTGTGGCTGGCGATTGCACGTGGATGCGGTGGGCGAGGGAGACGACGCGTTTGATGTGGTTGAAGTCGTGGGAGGCGTCGTATTTTGCCATGTAGGCCTCGACGTACTTTGTCACCTCGGAGACGAGCTCCTCGTTGGTTGGTGATGCGGTTTGAGCCATATTGAAAACCGGGGTCTCCGACTTGAGAATACGAATGACCTCGAAACGCCGTAGACGGAAAAGATTGTGTCTGAAGAACTGAAGGAGACTGGATCGTTGATGGCGTTTATCAAAAGCAACGGCAAGACTTCTCGCTGATGGATTGTTAATCCGACCTTTCCAACAGGGCTTTACCTTGAGGATGTCTAGCTAGATTGAGGGACCGAGTTGATGAAAGAGGGGCTGCTGCCTTGGATCGTTGACTCAGGCCGGCGACGTAGCAACTTTTGGACGCGACTTTGTCACGACGCGCCAAAGTAGATAGTTACGAGATACTTGACGCGGAACGCGCTATCAGGTGATTATTCACGTGATCATCCTCAACTGTAGGTGGGCACCACCGCTCCAAGTCTCCACATGGCTCTTCCCTCTCACGGGTGATCCCGCAGTTTCCCGCCAGGTCCTCCCGCCACCGACAAAGACCACAGATAAACGGCTCACCCTCGACCTCAACACACCATTACAGATTTCAGATAGTGGCCAAGCGTACAGGAAAAAAACATCCATAGAACAAATCTGCTGTGATGCTGCGACACACGTAACACTCTTGGGCGCCCAGCTTGTCAGCCGACATCGATCTCACCATTCTGAGGTCAGACCGCTTCAAGCTCGCAGTTGCTTTGTGAGACATCTGTCGGCATCAAGGAAAAGGCCGATATACCAGAGTTACAGCCCGCTTACGAGGCGCCGTCCTCCGACCTGTCACAGCCCTTTCTTCGCTTTCTGATCAATCTGATGGAGTGACAATCTCGATGGACCTTTCGCACATTTGCGCTCCAGAACCACGGCAGGCATCTCTACATCCCAGATCCCAGATCCGACGAGGGCAATATCACGAGCGGGCTTGCCATTCCGGTCAGCGGGGATTTGAGTCTATCAGTGTGATGGTTCTCACATACCCGCCGAGACTAGAGACGCATGGAGCCGGATGACGCACCTTGGATACTATGCCGAAGGAGGATGGTGAGAATTGAGAAGGGGAAAAACTGATGCCGTTTCTGCAATTCACCTCCATCGTCCTCTCGAGGTGTGGGTGGCTCAAGGGTCACACAGTCGCAGCGGATGTCGACCGAAGGCGGAGAACGGCAGTTTGTACTTGGCGGGCCGCACCACGATCGGCCATGTTGACTGACAGGGCCAGACCGCCCAGGG